CGCTGAGCCCTGCGTCCGCAGCTCGGCCGTGTGTACAGCCGCACGGGCGCCAAGGTGGCCATCAAGAAGCTGTACCGGCCCTTCCAGTCGGAGCTGTACGCCAAGCGCGCCTACCGCGAGCTGCGCCTCCTCAAGCACATGCGCCATGAGAACGTGAGTGCCGCCGCCGCCGCCTCCGCGCCCCTGCCCCAGGCCCGCCCCTCCCTCCGGCCACTGAGGCAGCCCCCCTGTGGGGGCGGAGCTGATGGTCAGAGACGGACGGACAGACAGACTGCTCCCCCCGCCCCAGCCCGCTCCTCCCGGGCCGGCCCTGGAAAGGATGGGGACCCGCCTGGGCTTCTTCCTGGGCCACCTGGCTCTGCAGCTCAGGCCCCTGGAAGGAGGCTGGCCCGGGTGTCACCCCAAATCCTGTGCAGCTCTCCAACTGGGAGGGGCACCTAGCCTCCCGCCGCCTCCCGCGCCCCGCCCAGGGGCCTTCTCCAGCCCTCCCCACTGTCTTGAGCCCACTCTGCTGCCATCCACCTGCTAAGCGCCCTGAGGCCCTGGGGCCCTGGGGCCCTGGGAAGGCAGAGCTGGGCACGGAATGGGGTAATGATTGGCCCTGTCAGCTCAGGGCCTCGGGGTCTCCGGTGATGGAAGGGTTTGGGGAGCTGGTGTAGGGAGGGCACTGGGCATAGTGACCAACACACAGATGCCCCATCGCGTCTCTGGCTGGGGTTCATGGACAGTGGGGGAGAGGCGGATCTGGCCCTCACCAGGGAGAGGCCTCCCTGCTTCCGGACCTGCCCACAGGACACCACCCTTGGCTGCCACGGCCTGGCTCTGGTGGCCATTGCCGGCTGCCGGGCCAGGGAGCTCCCACAGACCCCCTTCTCCGCACAGACCCCTGCGGCCAAGAACTCTGCCCCACCCCCAGCACCCCTGCCTCACCCCCATCTTCGCCCAGTCTGAGGGCTGGGCACCCCGACCCTGGCTCATCGTGCTCCTGACACCTGGTCTGGCCCCTCCTGGGTCATGGGAGCCACCGGCCTCCCCTCAGGATAGGGGTCCCCAGGAAACTGGCCCCCCTTCCCAGGTGAAATCTGTTCATAGTGGATGTCAGCCCAGCCTGGGCCTCACTGTCTCCCCGTCACACCTGGGCACGCCCGGGCCTTGTCTCCCCCACGCCCCCCACAAGGGCAGACTCTTCTACCCAAGGCTTCATCCGACTTCTCCCTCATCGCCCCCACTCCCACCCACCCATCCTACCTGGCAGGACCCCCCTCAGGCCTGCTCCCCCTGGGCCTGTGCTGCCCCCTCCCCCAGTGCCAGCGGTCCTCCCGTGCCCCTCACTCGGCCTCACCAGCAGGTGGGCGCTGCAGCCTCCAGGGCACACAGCACACAAGCCAGGAGCTCGGCCTGTGGTGGACCCTCCCTGGGGGGTGGGGGACGAGTTCTCAGAGGCCGGGTGCAGCGGCAGGTGGAGGAGTTGCCACCCACGCCCACCCTGCTCTGCTCCTCCGCCCCCACTTCTGTCTCCTCCCGGTCCAACCCCCCACTCTGGCTCCATCCACACCTCAGAGGCACAGACGTCTCCGTTTCCTTCAGCCTGACGGCCCCTGACCTCCAGGACTCTGTCCTTTTCTTGCTCAAACGCTCTCCCCATCTCCCTGGGCCTCACCTGCCTCTGACCTCTCTCTGGACACCCCCTCCCCTGCCATGACTCTGGCCCTGGAGGCCGCAGTGGTCGCCTAGCTGTCCCTTCACCTCGTGTCCTCGCCTCACTCCGTCTGTCCCTGCAGTCCGTGTCACGCCTGTCTGAACCCTTCCTTGTCGGCTCTGGGATCGAAGCCAAGCCTTCCCCTGGCACGCGAGGGCCTGCTCAGGCTCCCTCCGGCCTCTGCCTGGCTGCTCCCCGGCCTGGGCCTCGGCCACCTGGCCTCCCTCCCCGTGTTCCTCAAGTGCTCGAAGGGTTCTCGTCTCCTCTGCCTCCATTCCCATGGCCTCTGCCAGGTGTGGCCTCTGCCAGGCCCGTCCACCTGCTCAGAGGTGCAGGCTTCCCTGAGCCCCTGGAGGCCGCCCTGAGTCCGGCTGCCAGTTGTCCCAGTCCCTCCTGCTCCCCTCACCCCGGCCGGGTCTGCAGGGCCAGGTCTGCCTGCTGGTTTGGCCCCGGCGCTGCCTGCTGGGGCCTCCAGCAGAGCCCAGCCCTGGGAAGTACCTGCCGGATGCCGGATGCCGGCTCTCCCCTGGGAGGCGGTCCCCATCCTCGTCCCAGGTTTTCAATGGACAGGAAGGGCCCGGAGCGGGAGCTCCTTGGATGGCCGGGCGCCGATCCAGGCTGGGGCTGCCCCTCCCCCACAGGATCCCAGCTGTCACCGTCCCAAAATAGCCTGCATCTGTGGGCAGGTGTGCCAGGGCTGGGTGGCGCTGCCAGTGGGCAGAGCTGGCCCTGTGGACCGTGGGGGGAGATGGGGACAGCTGTAGGGGACTTTCCTGCCCGGAGCCTGGTGCCAGCCTTCGGGGGGGCGGGGGGGCGGGTGCCCCCTCCCACCTGGCGCTCCGCTGCCTCCCCAGGTGATCGGGCTGCTGGACGTGTTCACTCCAGATGAGACCCTGGATGACTTCACAGACTTGTGAGTTCCGGTCTGGGCCGGCCGGGAAGTGTGGAGGGGCGCGGGGTCACTCCTGGGCGCCAACTTCGGAGTCTGGGTTGGTGTGGGGACCCGCTGAAGGCAGGCCTCTCCCTATAGCCTGGAGGGGGTCGGGGTGCACACTGCCTCCCCCGTCTTCACGCCACAGTCCCCTTCCCTGGGACCCACAACCTCTTCCCGCCACCATGGGCACCAGGCTGTCTCCAGTGCGGGAGGTGTGAGCCTTGGGCCTGAGCGTTTGTTAACTGGCAGGTCCTGTCCCCTGGGCCCTGGCACTGAGTGTGTGGCCATAACTGAAGCTGCTGACCTTTTCGGGAGGGGAGGGGCAGGGCGGGGCGGCATCCCCTGGGCTCACACTGCTGTCAGCCAGGAGCCAGGGACCTGGCCCGGGGAAGGGCTGGGAGGACCGGCTCCCTGCCGCCTGACCTTGCGGAGGTCAAGGACCCGCACTGGCCAGGAGCTAAATGTCTCTCGCTCCGTCTCCCTCCACCTCCCCTGTGTGATATCCCTCGGACCCCAGTGTCCTGCTTTCCCGCCCCGCCCGCAGGCCTGCCCTCCCCTGCCTGTGAGCACTGGGGTCCCCAGCCCCTCGCCTGGCACAGTCCCTGCCCCCAGGACATTCTGGGGTGGGGGAGGGGTGGGTGCTTGGAGGTCGGGGCCTGGGGTCTTCCTGGGTCTGAGCCTGCCCCACCCGCAGTTACCTGGTCATGCCGTTCATGGGCACGGACCTGGGAAAACTCATGAAGCACGAGACGCTGAGCGAGGACCGCGTCCAGTTCCTCGTCTACCAGATGCTGAAGGGGCTGAAGGTGAGGGCGGTCCCCTGGCTGGTCCGCGGCTGTGAGGGCCCGTGAGCCCACATGGCTGACCCTGACCCTCTCTCTGTCCCCACAGTACATCCACGCGGCCGGCGTCATTCACAGGGTGAGTCCTGGGGGTGGAGGGAGCTTCCCTGCTCTGGGCGTTCGAGGGGCTCAACCCCTAGGAGCCTGTCTCCCACCTGTGGGGGCACGAAGGGGTCCAGAGGGTGTCACACCGTCTGCACACAGCCCGGGGCCTGGGCACCTCCACCCTCCCCGGGCTCTGCCGCTGCCCCGGCTCCTGCCCTGGCACAGCCACCTTTCGTCCACCCCCAGGACCTGAAGCCCGGCAACCTGGCAGTGAACGAGGACTGTGAGCTGAAGGTGTGTGTAGGGTTGGGGCTCAGGCTCCCTCCCACCTGCCCATCTGCCTGCCACGCCCCGGTCCCCAGACCAGGCAGAGGGACCCCCACCCAGGCAGTGGCCAAGCAGCTGATGGCCAGATGGGCCCTGGGGAGGCACTTGATGGGGGTGGCATTGGGTACACTCTGCTTGAGGTTGGGGGGGGCAGGTAGTGGTCCCTCCTTCCTGAGCTCGGGCAGGACCTGAGAGACCTTCCCAGCCCAGCTGGAGCGGCTCAGTGGTTAGAAGGTCGCGGTTCGATTCCGGGTCAGGGCACATCCTTGGGTTGCAGGCTCCATCCCCAGTGTGGGGGCGTGTGGTTCTCTCTCATCATTGATGTCTCTATCCCTCTCCTTCTCTCTGAAATCAATTTTTAAAAATTAAAAAAAAAAGACCTTCCCAAAGGTGCTGGCTAGGATCCAGGGCAGTGATGGCGAACCTTTTGAGCTCGGCGTGTCAGCATTTTGAAAAACCCTAACTTAACTCTGGTGCCGTGTCACATATAGGAATTTTTTGATATTTGCAACCATAGTAAAACAAAGACTTATATTTTTGATACTTATTTTATATATTTAAATGCCGTTTAACAAAGAAAAATCAACCAAAAAAATGAGTTCGCGTGTCACCTCTGACACGCGTGTCATAGGTTCGCCATCACTGGTCTAGGGGATGGGGAGTGAGGAGCAGAGGGAGGCGCCAGGGCGCCTGGCCCTGAGGGTGGGCGGGGTGCACCGGCCGTGGGGAGGAGCCCAGGGAGGCTGGAGGGCCCGTGGCTGTGACCTCAGGCCCTGGAGGGTTGGCAGGAGCCCAGTGTCCCCAGCTGCTTGGGGCCCCCTGGCCCACAGGCTGGCCCACTCACTCCCCGGGGGCCCCTTTGCCCCCCCTTCCTGATTCTGGGTGCAGATCCTGGACTTCGGCCTGGCCAGGCAGGCCGACAGCGAGATGACCGGATACGTAGTGACGCGGTGGTACCGGGCGCCCGAGGTCATCTTGAACTGGATGCACTACACACAGACAGGTGAGAGGCTCCAGAGACGGGGCCACTGCCTGCCTCCACCTCCCGGCTGGACGCCCCCCCCCCCCGCCCCCCGCCCCCTGCCCATGGCTGCTGAGCTGGGATGGAGCCAGGAGTGCCCATGTCCCCCCTGTGCATCCCTCCCCCACCCCCGGCCCACAGCCCTGATGAGGGGCTTCTCCCTCAGTGGACATCTGGTCCGTGGGCTGCATCATGGCGGAGATGATCACAGGGAAGACGCTGTTCAAGGGCAACGACCGTATCCTACACCTGTGGGGCCAGGTGGGCGGGAGGGGGCGGGGGTGGGAGCCCCGCTCTCTGGCCCAGGTGGTGCTCCTGAGCTCGGCCGAGACCTGGACCAGCTGAAGGAGATCTTGAAGGTGACGGGCACGCCGCCCGACGAGTTCGTCCAGAGGCTGCAGAGCACGGATGTCAGTGGGGAGGTGGGCGGGGCCGGGGTTCTGGGTGGGGCGCCCCGGGAGCTGGCCCCTCACCCTTCCCGCCCACACAGGCGAAGAACTACATGAAGGGCCTCCCCGAGTTGGAGAAGAAGGATTTTGCCTCCATTCTGACCAATGCAAGCCCTCTGGGTAGGGCGGGACTTGGGGGAGCGAGGGGTCAGTGACCTGGGGTGTGGGTGCGTGGGGCCCTCCCTGCCCAGCCTGACCCGCCCTCCCCCCAGCGGTGAACCTCCTGGAGAAAATGCTGGTGCTGGACGCAGAGCAGCGGGTGACGGCGGCCGAGGCCCTGACCCACCCGTACTTCGAGTCGCTGCACGACGCCGAGGATGAGCCCCAGGCCCAGAAGTACGACGAGTCCTTTGACGACGTGGACCGCACCCTGGACGAGTGGAAGCGTGAGTGGAGGGCTCTGGGCGGGCCCGAGGCGGCACCCGTGAACCCCATGCAGGTTGCCCGGGCTCAGAGTCCTGGGTTCGCCAGGTAAGGGACACAGCAGGAGGTCAGAGGGCAGTGGGGCGTCCTGGCCAAGGTGACCTCTGGCTGAAGCTGAAGGACTGAAGGGAGGGCGGGGACTTCTGCCGGGGCTGGGCACCCACGGGAGCGTGGACGTCACACGGGGGCAGCTCCCAGCTCAGGGCAGAGTGAGCACTTCCCTCTCCCAGTCCCGCCTCCAGGCCACAGGCCCGGCCACCCTGGAGCCCCTTCACACCCACTTGTCTCCGGGCCTCTGCTCACATCTCTTATTTCTCTTTTAATATTTTTATTGATTTCAGAGAGGAAGGGAGAGGGAGAGAGAGATAGACACATCAATGATGAAAGAGAATCATCTATCGGCTGCCTCCCGCACTCCCCCTGCTGGGCAACAAGCCCCCAACCATGACCTCCTGGTTCACAGGTTGATGCTCAACCACTGAGCCACACTGGCCGGGCTGCTCACGCCCCTTGAACTTGATCTTGCCTCTCCTTGCCCCCTTCACCTGAATAACTGCAGGCCTTTCATTTCCTGCCAGTGGGATAAGACCCCCCAGCCAGCCCACAGTACCTCACCCCTCCTTGCCTGTCCCCTACAGCCCCTCTGAGCAGTTCCGACCCCCCTCCCCCAGAGCTGCTCTGCACCTTCAGGCTTTGGGCTGGTCACCCCCTTACACCAAGGGTCCTTCCCCTCATTTCTGAGGGTCAAACTAGACCTGCTTGGCCTCAAGCTGGGTTCCAGGATGCCTGCCCGGCCAGTCCCAGGCCTCGCTCTGCTGTGGTCCTGATGCCCACGCCGGGACTGGCCTTGTCCCTCTGCGCTGCGGAAGGGCGGCCACGAGGGCTGGGTGTGGTGTCTTGTGGTTGCAGGACCCGCCTGGGGGTGCAGGGATGTGAGAGCAGCGTTAGCCCTACTGCAGCCGTGGTTCACGGCTGCCACTGTGTTCTACGCCCCCTCCTGGCTTTGCCTCGGACCCAGGGCCTTAGTCCTGCACTAGGGGGCAGGGGTGGGGCTGGATGGGTTACGGTTCCCAAACTATGTTCCTTAGGACCCCTGGGTTCCTTGGTGCCTCCAGCAGGGACTCCACCCTTGTCTGTGCTGTGTTTTGTGCTTCTACGCTGGATTTGGTGAAAGTTTCCTGTTGCTAAAAAAAGATCTGAAAACCGCCAGCGGCTGGATCCTCTCTGTGGTCCCCGCCCACACAAACCATGAGAGTTCTGCTTCAGACCATGGTGGACACGTGGCCTTTTTTGTGGCCGAGTCCCGGGTCAGGACACAAACCCTCAGCACTTCCTGTTTCCCTGGGGAAAGAAGCCGGTTCAGCAGCAGTGGCCTCTTCACAGACCTTCCCGGTGTGGGCAGCCCCTGCCTTAGGAGGAGAGGGATACGCCCACAGGCCGCCTGCGGAGGGCAGTGTGTCCCGAGCGGGGCTTGTGGCGTGCCCGTGTCCCCCAAACTGGCACCCCACCAGCCAGGGGAGAGGGAGCGGCTGGGGCAGGCCGAGTGGAACCTGTCCACTTGCAGACTGGCCAGAGGGGAGCAGAGCAGGCCCTCCACCTGCCTTTGTCTTTTTTTGTCTCCCCACCTCGCCTTTGGACGGCTCACGGCAGGCACAGTTCAGGGGACACGGCCACCTGGTGAGGCTAGTGGAGGGGCTCCCGCTCCTGTAAGCCTCCAGAGACTCAGCGTGTCTCAGCGGGACCCTGAGCAGCTGCTTGCCTGATGGGACGTAGGTTTGCCTTCCTAGGACGTCTCTGTCCGCAGAGGCAGGCTGTGGGGCCAGAGCCGCCCGCCACCTCAGGGGCAGGGGTTCTGAGTCCCAGGAGCCCCGTCAGGGTGGATGGTCACTGTGGACAAACTCGGGTGGCCTGACCGTGGCTGTGTCCTGGGACGGAGTCATGGGTATGGGACAGAGAAGCCCACCTGGCCCCTACACCCCAGCCATGACCTGTGACCCTGATGTTTGGGGGCATTGGTGCCCTGGGCAGTGGTCTGGGCCTGGGAGGTCGCCCCACCCCACCCTGCGTGGACTCTCTTTGGACTCATTGCTGCTCCGAGTGAGCCCTGTGGGCTGGGCCCAGCACTTATTTTGGGTCGTTGGTGTCCGAAGTGGCGTGAACTGTAGGGGTTGATTCCTTTTATATCTATTGTGTGTCTGTGTGTGTGTGTGTGTGTGTGTGTGTGTGTGCTGATTCTAATGGGTGGTTGGGCTCCTTCTCCTGTGACTCTCCATCTCTCTCGCTCTCACCCCACCCCAGGTGACACGTATAAAGAGGTGCTCAGCTTCAGGCCCCCCCGGCAGCTGGGGGCCAAGTCCTCCAAGGAGACGGCCCTGTGAAGACCCCTGGGCCCGGAGGGGGTGGTGGGACGTCTTGGGGACCCTGGCTGGCACTTCCGCCTGGGATCGGGGAGCCCTGTGACCTTGGCTGGAGCTTGCACCCCAGGAGACTCCTCATTCCATGCACTCCATCCCCCAAGCCCGTGGCCCCGCTCCCAGGCCCCCAGCTCAGCCTAACCTTGGAGGGGCATGTGGACTTGCTGCCCAGGGCACCCTCCTGACCTGGGGCTGGCCTCCGCAGTGGTCCCCTGAGCAGGGTGCAGCAGGAAGCCGCAGAACCTGGGGGGGGGCGGGGGGCGGGGCTTGGGGTCCAGGCCTGGCCTGAGCTCTGCTTGGTGAAGCTGAGGCCCAGCTCCTGGGGAGAGGAAGGACAGGAAGGGCGCAGGCGCTGACTCAGGGACAATCTTGCACGCCCAGCTGGAATGTGCACTGTCCTTGTGGTGCCCACACGGCTGGGAGGAAATAAACCCTTTTGTAGAGTTCCCACTGTGGCTTCACTTCCTGATTCTCGGCGGGACGCCCCCCTCCAGGCCTCCGAGCCGCCTGGCAGAGGAAGGAGGCCAGCCCCGCAGCCTCGGCCCCCCTTCCCGGGTCACAGAGCTGGTGCCCACTTCCCCTGTTCTGTGCCAGGGCGCCCCGAGCCCAGAGCCCCCACCCTAGGGCTTGTTCTCCCTTTCGGGGTGACCTTTTTCCGATGGCTCGGACTCCGGAGCCCGACCTTGGGGCAGAGCCTGATGGGAGTGGGGGCTGTGGTTAGGGTCCAGCCTGGGGCCGAGCCCCAGCCGCTGAGCCCCCCGCGCTCCCCACGGCCGAGGCTCCCGCCCGAGTCTCAGAAGAGCGTGGGCCCCTCCCGCCCCTCCCACGGCCGCAACCCAGCGCCATCGCCGAGCCCGTGGCGCCCTCTGCCGGCCACTGGGAGCGCTGGCTCCGGATCGGGAGCCCCTCCCGCTCCTGGCTCCCTGGCTCCCCCACCTGTCCGCGGAGCAGGCGTCCCCAAAGCGGGCACGGCCCGTCTCCCCGGTCTCCCGGCCTGGAGTCGGGCTGGGCGCACGCGCAGTGGGTCCCGCCAAATACGGTCGTTTGCGTTGCCACAGTGGCCCCCGGCCTCTCATCAGAGGCCCCCAGCCTTCGGAACCCTCTCCCGTCACCGGAATCCAAACAGGGTCTTTCCCGGCCCACCGTGCCCCGTGGCCACATGTGGCCGGGTGGCCAATCAGAGCGCGCCATTCCCTGGCCGCGGTCATTGGCGGGCGCCTGACCCCAAGTGACCCAATTGGAGTCTCCCCAGAGCCCCTGCAATGACGGGGCAACAGGGTCCCACCGCTAAGATCCCCGCCCACGCCTCGCCCCCTAGAGACCCGCCCCCAGAACACTGGCCCATGACCACGCCCCTAGAAACCCGCCCCGTGGCCCCGCCCACGCCTCGCCTCCTAGATACCAGGGCCCCGCCCACGCCCCTCCTCCTGGAGACCCGCCCCATGGCCGCGCCCCCAGACACCCGCCCCG